GATGACCTTCAACATCAGTTCTTTATATCTGATATAGAACTGATTAATAAAACATCAGTGCTTTATCGGGATATAGTTATACCCAAATAGGGATATAGTTATACCCAATAGTTGGATTCTGATTGGACTATTAGCTCATGAATTATTAATGAGTTCTAGAATGGATTTTACAATATCCAGGCTTGATATTTGAAACATTCCAAACTTGGTAACCAGGTAATCCAGATTTGGTTCTTTCCTTTCTTGGATTTTTCCATATCCAGACTTGCCATTTGAAGCAATCCAGACTTGGTTACCAGGTAATCCAGATTTCGTTATTTCTTTTGTTGGATTTTACAATATCCAGACTTGGCATTTGAAACAATCCAGACTTTGATACCAGGTAATCCAGATTTAGTTATTTCTTTTGTTGGATTTTACAATATCCAGACTTGGTATTTGAAACAATCCAGACTTGGTTACCCGGTAAACCAGAGTTGGTTATTTCTTCTGTTGGATTTTACAATATCCAGGCTTGTTATTTGAAACAATCCAACATATTACTTATAATTATAATGTTTTCTTGCCCCTCATCATTTCTTGATTTTTCTTCAAAAAGCTTTTTTTCTTACTTTCTGGTCATCGTTCTGTCTTAACTTGATTGTCCCCTTGAACTTACATTTGTGGCTACTTAGATTCACTCATGTAAGCTAATATGCCTATTGTGCTCTGACTTTCAACCAACTTATACACCCTTTTAATAAGTCCCGAGGTATTGTGTTCTCCGCACTTGACGTCAAATTTATTCTTTTGAATTCCTTTTGTATTGTAAAAATTTCAAAAGAATAAATTTGACGTCAAGTGCGGAGAACTCAGTACCTCGGGACTTATTAAAAGAGTGTATATTGATCAGGCTCTTAAGAGGCAGTCTCTGTAAAGCGGTCCGATGAATTTCGGCTCAGAAATAGTTTTCCCTCAAATTTCTACCATGAATTGCCCTATCATARTAAGTAATGAAAATCGACTTTGTTTTTCAAAATTCGTTAAATTATTTTTTTTTTCAGCCTATTTTTACAGGTCCACCGTCTTCGCTAAATTTTCATTTTTTCACGATAGGAAATCGAACATTTTCAGAACAGCATAACTCACAAAATATAGAACGCAGGCCCTAAATATTTTTAGCCATTCTTTTAGATGTATCTGTGCGCTAAATAGTAGCAAACTTTTTAATATCAAATATAAGGGAAAAATAATACACTATACTAAGCGAACCCCATTATTCGGCTTTTTGAAATCACGGCGAAGTATACTTTACAAAGTAGCTTTTATCTGCCAAGTCCAACACAGTTTGCTTAAAATTTTTAATGAATTCTACTAACCTAAGGTTGGTTAACAAGAACACAAAAAAACATTTTGCGCTTTTSAGCTATATTCTGTACAGCAGGCGCGTAGTTTTCGTGTTTTTCAGTAACTTGCCGTTAAAATATGCAAATTAGGCATCCAAAAAAATCAATTTATTGATATATTTTTCATAAAGACTTAAAGCATTTATGGTTAATACTCTAAATCTAACAATTTTCGGTATTTTAATCCGCGTTACGAATTAAAACTGCACCTGATTCCTTCCTCAGCGAGCTAGATGATGTGTTTTGACGCTTATGTAAATTTCATATTGATTAAGGTTAGTCCAAAATGAGATTGCAATACTTTATACCTTTTAATAGCCCCAAACGAATATTTAAACTTGTCAATATACATAAATAAATGTATAAATAATTTAATTAACAAAGTTTGAAAAAGTTAAAAGTGAAATTGAATTTGTGTCGCTTCAAAACACATGSCAAAAGCCTTTATGCACTAGTTAATTAAAACCCCCGTCCTCCGCCCCCGGGGAATAGCGGGGAATTTAAGGTTGGCGTGGTGTTAAAATGTTTCTCTCGGTATTCGGGGGGTACATCCATTGTTAAAATCCCCGCTACTGTTGCACCGCTATTTTGGTCCGAGTAGTAATTTGACAGTTTTAGATTCACGTTTACTGCAAACGCCAAACGTCAAATTGGCTTTTATGCTTTGTCTCAAAATTTCAAACAAACGTAAAAATAATGATGTGCTTATGCACGAAAAAGTGATCTATTTTATACACAATCGCGAAAGGAGGGAGTTTTCACTGTCTCTTCAGCTGTGATGTTCTTCATCAAGAACACTTCAGGCCATTTACTATGGGCATCCTCCACAACCATAAACATGTTGCCTTTGAATGGACCAGCGAAGTCTACCTGTATGCGCTGCCAAGGTACAGCCGGATACTCCCATCGATGTAGTGGTACAGGCGTCATTTGCAACTTGTTGGCACCCAACACAACGCTTAACTTGATCCTCCATTTCCTTGTCGATACCCGGCCACCAGAGAGCACTTCKACCAAGGCCCTTCATCTTTACCATCCCGAGATGACCTTCATGTTGAATCTCTAGAACTCTCCCTCTCAGCTTAGTCGGCACGACCACACGGCTTCCCCACATTAGAATGCCTTCATGGACTACTAGCTCCCCCTTTTGGGTTGCATAATGCTTCAGCTCCGGCCATGTCTCCAAGGTGTCCCAGCCTTCTGTAACTAAGGTGAGTACCTGACTCAGGAAAGGATCCTTCCGTGTCTCGCTTCTGAGGTCTCTATCCGTAACTGGAAGAGTGTCTATCAAGGAGGCATAGTAACATCCGACACTATCCCTGTGACCCTCGGGGGCTACTACTTGTGGAAGTCGAGACAATCCATCACAGTTAGCATGTTCCTTCGTTCCACGATGGGCTATTTCATAAGAGAAAGCACCTAGGAAGAGACACCATCTTTGGATCCGAGCAGCGCTAGTCACAGGTATGGCTTTCGTCGGGTCCATTATGAACTTAAGTGTTGCGTCCTTGAAACGACCATTCCCACGCTAAGTAATTTGATTCCGGCACGTTATTGAAGTATAGAGCGAAAACGCTGAACATTTAACCATCTTTAATTACTGAACAGTTATAGTTATAGGTACAAGTACACGGGTACAATACAGGTTCAAGTACAGGTTTGAGTAGAGGTTTGAGTACAGGTTTTCTGAAATAAAAATGCTACATTACAAACAAGAAAAGGCGACAAATTACAAGCAAAGAAAATACATACCGAACTCTTGACAAACGTGCTACAGAATACATAAATTAACATAATTACATAAATTTCCCAAGAAACCTTGCGCTATGGTAGCAACACCGGCCCCTAAATATGAGCACTATAACGAATATTTACTTAAACTTAACTACCATAGCGATAACAATACAAGTAACTCGAACAATCTAATTGACAAGAAAAGCTTTAAACATCTTCTCTTCTTGATTTATTCCAACTCGAGTGGACACAGCTTGGTTACTGGTCCTGTCAGCGTTACAGGTGAGCGAATTGAAACATCTCCAGTACGCTTACGCTTGGCCTTGGTTGCTACAGTTGAGCATACTCTAACTTTAACGGTTCGCACATAACTGTCTCTTCCTCTGACAACTTCAACGACTCGGGCTAAAGGCCAATTTYCTCTTGGGTAATTCTCATCTACAAGTAATGCCAAATCCCCGACTTTAAATTCATCACGAGGTACGTTYCACTTCTTTCTCTCTAAGAGGGTTGGAAGATACTGCTTAACCCAGCGCTTCCAAAAAACATCAGAAATGTACTGCGCTTGTCTCCATAAACGCTTGCTTTCGCAGTCTTCTTTGTCAAATATACTGGGTGGTAAGCTTGGGCATGGCCGCAGTTGTAATAGGTGATTGGGAGTTAACGGCTCGTCGTCCATAGGGCTGTCACTATTTCTTGTAAGTGGTCTTGAATTGATTATATCGGCTACTTCTTGCATGACTGTCATTAGAACTTCRTCGTTTACGATCTGTTCCTTTAATAAGGACTTTAGCACTTGCCTTGCTGTTCGTATCATTCTCTCCCATGTCCCGCCCATATGGCTTGCTGTTGGGGGATTGAAGACACACTGAATTTCTCTTTTGAGGCAATATTGATACACTTTGTCTTCTTTAAGCTGCTTCAATGCTTCCTTTAAGTCCTTGTTTGCTTTGGTGAGATTGGTT